CCTAAATCTGGAAACAAAAACTATTCATCCAAGTAATTTAACTTAGTATTTATCATCAGTTTTGGAGACTGTTCCAAATATACTGTACTCTGAAAGTTGACAGAGAACATAATTCTGGTACCTAAATAAACAAGTTCTAAACTTATGTGGTAGACAAAATATTTTGCTTCAACAATTTCTTATTTTTAATCTCAGACATCTACTTCTCTTATTAATATCTCCATAAAGGTTTGCATCTGAGCTGTGGTTCCAGGTCTGGGCCATTCAGTACAACAGTACAGAGATGTACTTCAGTACCCACAGACCCCAAATCCCACTCTGCTGCAACACAGGACAGTAAACAAAGCTTACATCATACATATCCCAACCAATGCAGTCATTGCCTCAAAAAATATTGACAGCTGAGACATCTGCAGCAGAAAGACAGTACTCCAGCCCAGGACTGTCTGGTGTACATCAGTGAATCTGATCTTTACAGGAAGACTCTTCACCCTCAAACCTGAAGTGATACAGTTAAGAGAAACTGAACCGCAGCTGCTCCTAAAGGAATCTGACCAAGTCTCATGATGTGAACTCTCTTAGTTCCCTTATAGTGGTGAGAAGAAGAGGCTCTAAACAATCCATTGCAATATTAGCATTGTAAAACCTGATCTCTGCTAAATACCAATTTCAGTAATCAACATGGTAGGTGTGGTATTTTGTTTTGATGTAGAATTTTTCTACCTGGAAATTTTTTTCCCCACTCAAACCACAGGCTTGAAAGTTCAACAAGAAAGCAGACTGAAGCTCTGTCCCTCCCAAAAGAGCACTGTACCCTTTAAAGCTTTGCTGCAAAATAATTACCTGAAAAAATATTCAGTGACACATGCCAGTAAGTTACACCTCTAAATAACAACTGGGCCTTTGTGGAAGATTCTGTTAATACAAAAAGAGATAGTGCTTGAAATTAATTTTTTAACATGCTATGTTAACTTATCGATGACAAGCCACAATAAAAAGAGAAGCCAGGAAAAAGTAGTAGCAAAGACTAGATTAGCCTCTATATCAACGTTAATAAGTTAAGAGTCTGAAAAGTCATTCAGGAGGTACAGCTTCCACAGTGGCTTGAAAAGAGCAACCACTGAAAATATGCTCAAAGCTTACTCATTTAAAAGGATAATATATACACTGTAACCTCGGCTTATTTTTAACTGTAAGATATGCTTTTGCAAAAACAATGTCATCCTGAGGCAGATGACTTAAACCTTGCATTGTTTTTACGAAGCAGCGAAGAGCAGATTTCTGCAATCTAGACACATATATAGGCTCCAAAGCTGGAAGAAGAACCACATCTTACTGTTCTAGCTACTTACTGTACAGTGAGATACAGCACCTGACACAAAGATTGTACAATCAGAAACAATTAAAACTAGAGAAAAAGGGGATCGAGAGATGGTAGAGCTGTTGGAGCACAGACATCCCATTCTTGCAGGCACTGGAGTGTCTTCAGTGTTTTTTTTTTAATGCATTAATAGTAAGTGAAGAAAAGGAAAGAGGGAATGCTAAGAGGCAAAGAATGAAGATAAACATATATTATTAGGAAGAAAATAAGACTTACAAAGAGGAAGGTGCTACCCTGAGGTGCAAGAAGAAATGTCCAGGAAATAGATTATGAAAACAACAAATGAAAGACAGATAACAAGAGTCTGGTGGGACACAATGGTCTTGCTAGGAAAGCTGGTGTTAGTTTCATAACCTATGTAAATAACACAGGGTTAAAAAGTCTCCTTTTTCAGGTAAAGCAATTTCCCCACATATCTTCAAGAATGGAAACTGGAAACTCATTAACCCCTGAAGTTTGTTCTAACTCACTACCCCCCAGTAGGCTTGAAATTATATATAATTTAGAATAATATATTTCTTTATTTTACATTATCTGGATTATGAACTATAGTCATTAACAATTGTTTCGTCTTTCACATGTCACCACCCCTGTTTTAGTGGTCCTCACTGGTCTGTGGTTGGTTTCATGTCAATTTTCATCGAACTCCTTTTCTTTTACCCATTTTCAAGCCTCATTTTAATGAATCTCCCTAAAAAGCTCATAAAACATTAAAGCATTAGTATCAAACACTAATTTTCAATGGAGTTGGGCCAGATAGTAATCGTACTCTGCTGTCAGTAATAAGGAGACATAGCTTGAGGCAAAAAAATTAACATCGACCTCATTCAAAGAACTTGAAATATCTAAAATAAAGTTGAACTTTGCATATATATATATATATATATTTAATAGTATTTGATACAGCCTTAGAGTAAAAAAAAAAAAAGAACTTCAGGAGAGGGAAATAGGCTATACTGCCTTCCTGTGTAGTTTGTCTGCCTGTGTTTAACAACTCTGAAAAGCTCCAGTAAGTCACATGCCCAAATTTATTTGTTTAACGGGAGGAATATTATTTCCCACATTGCTGATATCACTTTTAGGATCATTACTATATAGGAAGAGGCTCACAATCCACCAACAGAAAAGATCAGGAAGAAATTATAGACTTATTGTCTGTTTTTTTCAAAACATGAGAAAGCAAGCATTTGCCTGTGTTAGGTAAGCTGTTATGTCATAAAACCTCTGAGGCTGACACACTGGAAAGTAAGTGCTCTTCACTTACAAGCAGATAGAACATGTGATCTTGTAAAATAATAATAGAGATGTATTTGAAATACTTGTTTAGAAAGGCACAGACACATTGCCATGAAAGTGTGATTTATTTATTTTTTACTTACAGCAACAGCTTTGTGAAACAAAAGGAGAACAAAGCCATCACGTCAAACAATGTTTGTAGTCAAACCTTGGGAAAGACTGGAAAGGAATTTCCTGCAATTTGTATGTAACCTGGATGTCTCCAACTGGAATAGTTTTAGGCTTGATTTTTTTTCCCCTGCAGTGCATTAAGTTATTGTATTTTGATTTTTTTAAATAATGAATGCTCTCATGTATATGAATGAATACTACACTGAAAGAACATTGATTACTTGTGAAAGAAAAAAAGTGAAGATATATATATATAACGTATTCTTATATGTGCTTTGAAATACTTCTACCCTGGTTAAGATTTGCATCTCTAGGTGAAGGAAGCACCCAGGCATTTAGTAAACATCATGTAAATATAACATGACAAATGAAGTGAGCCATATGCTACACCAAAATGAGGATCAGTACATGTAACTACTTCCAAAACCAGCTTCTTTTCCTAGAAAACAGTCAGTTTTGAGTCATAATTATAAAAAATACTACTTTCCAAAATCATTTTCAAGAAGAAAATATAGAGATAGACAGTTAAACGTCTCAGTTGTCTTCGAACATCGCCCCAAAACCTCAGGTTATTTCCCCTTATGCTAATGTTTTTGCAAGAAAGACAATTTGGTGTTTTTCACTGAAAAGGCTAATAGAGTAAGTAAACTGCAGGAAACTAGTATTTGCCAGAATTGTTCCTTTTCTTTTTTTTTTCCTTTTACTTTTGGGAGCAAGGCGTGGGGGGTGGGGCAGGTGGTGAGGTGGTGATGTGGAGAGGAGGAGTGGAGCAGGGCAAAGGCTTGAAGTACATGTCCGTATTGATCAGCTGAGTTTTTAATGCAGGATATAGTGCTATGAATTGTATTTCCAACAATAAATGATAATCAGTAATAGAGATATTTAATGACAATAAACAGCACTGACTGAAAACAGGCAGTGTAATAAATTCACACTTCTGTAAACTGCCCAGAAGTTATACATCTGTCAAAGCTATGAAGATTTGAAATCACTTAACTTTCCCTTAATGCTTTCTTTCTATTATGATAGAGTTTTAAAGAAAATGTGTTAACTTTTAAGAGCAGCAGAGAGAACTAACATTTTCAATACAAGAGATCTTAATTTCATCCCTTACAGTATTAAAAAGTTTGGCCTCTTTACACGCTCCTTAATTACATACCCTGATAGCACAGCTATAAAGCATGGACATGACTGAGAATATCCAAGTCAGTTCACTTTAGAAATTTCAGGGTGGATAAACCATAGGTGCAAGGCTAGCTAACTCCAGGCTGTGTAAAAATCTCTGACATTTTCCTATTACTCATTTAATCTTTCAAGACAGCCTCCCTCATCTACTGTCTTATTTCCTTACAGATAAAGGTCTTCAAGCATCAGTCTATTTCTTTTGATATGTCTCACTTTCTATCAGCCCATGAAAAAATGCACCCTCTCTCTCTCTCCTCAGTCAAACACTGCTCTCACCCCATAGCAACCAATTTAATTTTCTGGCCACTTGTATTGAAACAGCACCCCTACTCACTCTTTCCCCCCATATACAGGAGGAATTCTAATCCTACAAAAGCAACTATCCAAATCCTACCAGCCTCCAAGCATAACATTCCTTCCACATGCCAGTCACAGCCTTCAGTCTGAAGGCAGCCTGGAAAGCTGCATGCATATTCTTGACTCACATTTCAAGAAGCCCTTACTGTCTCATTTAAATGCCATGGGACTTCGAAGCCCTGCACCTACGAGTTCCTGCTGGTGAGGGAATGATGCTCCTTATTCAGGATTATGTTTTACCGTCATGTACTTTTGATTTCCAGCTGCTGTGCTTCCTCAAATACATACACAAGGAGGAAAAGTGCACTTGCCTTTCCTCCTCCTGCCTTCTCGCACTCCTGAATGCTTGTAACATTTTTTTTTTTTTTTTTCGGGGGGGTTTTTTTTTTTTTTTTTTTTTTTTTTTTTTTTTTTTTTTTTTTTTCTTTTTTGCAAGCTTCAGAGAATCACAGGAATCACAGGACCGGAGAGAACTGCAGCCATTCATTAGACGCTGCTCAAAACTCGGCTCCCTCCCGAGGTGTTGCGGGCTGGGACACCCGGTCCTGCCCCCAGCCCGCTCCCGCGGCGCGGGCTCCCTTGCTGCAGTGCAGGCTGGCACTTCTCTCAGTTCGAACTTTCCATGCAGAAATTCGGCACGATGCAGGCAGCCAGATAAAGCAGCACTTACCTTAATTGAAATCTTTTCTCTGCTAATGCTGGAGCATCAGTCCAATCAACAGCGATCGGGGAGAATCTAAGTTTCAATCAACACCCTCTGGGCAGCCGCATGCTGCTCTGCCTTTTTTTCAGTGAACTCCTCACTGTCTGGAGGAGAGAGAGAGAGAGATCAGCTGAAATCCTCAGAGGCTCGTAGGGAGTGAGAGAAGAGGCACCAAAGCAATGTCTCTTAACAGGAGATTCTCAGCAAGCGTGCTCAGGTCTGGAAGATCCTGTAAGTGCTGTGATAGGCTCCTGTCATGTCCCCTGAGCTGTGAGATGATCATTGACCTGATTAGCTCTGAACACTCCCTACATGCAGAGAAAGCGCTGAGAGGATTGGTGGGTCGCAAGGGAATTGGGAAAGGCACCAGGGCCGCTTGGGAATCTTCATTCTTCCAGACTAATGGATGTGCTGCAGCTGAGGCTGTAATTTGTGAGGAGGTTATGCACAATGTTAACCATCTGAGGACTTAAACAATTGTGCTTTTGCGTGCTGTTTCTCAAAGTACACCAGCATTCAAGGCAGGGTAGAGCTAAGTAATTAGAGGCTGATGTAGCCATTTCGTAATACAAGGCTCACTGTATGAGATGTTCTGTAAGCTGAGAGATAAAGCGGATCCATACATTTGTCTCTGACCCTGGAGACAATAGCAGTTAATGGGTAGCATAAGTGAAATTAGTATGGTGGGCTCATGTTAGCCCCCAGATGGCAATCAGTCAGCATGGAAAGAAAAAAAAAAAGCACAACAAAACCCAAACAGACTAGAATTATTTCACAACTGTATATGACAATATAAATAAAATGTGGAGAAAGAATTTCAAATTAGTACAAAAAGGACTTTTCAACATGGAGATAAATCAGTAGAAAAACACAACAATACATCAGTGCAAGTTCTTCCCTCTGTTACAGCAGAGGGGGAAAACCAACAAGGAATGCATTTAAAGGATCTAATTTGCCTTTCACTTGCACTGATACAAATAAATCTATTAAAGATGACAGTTTAAATTTAGATCAGGACACAAAAAAGCAGAGTAAAAGAAGAATGAGGTGTATTCATTGTTTTTGGTTCAAGGGTATATGGAAACTAGACTTCAGTGTACCAAGTATTCAGGCTTCATGGACAAAAGAGTCAAGCCAAAGTGTGTCAACTTTTATGACTGCTCTCATCTGCTATTTTCCTGTTCTTGGACGATAATTACAGCACTAGGCAGTTGACTCCATTTTCCATTCAGATTTATCTATGAAAATACCAGCTGGTGACTAAAAATAACTTTTTTCAAAAAATAATATATGTAGTATTGGTGATCTGAAGCACCAGTATAAAATGGAAAATTGATATTTTTCTAGCAACTAATGAAGAAGATTTAGAACCTATAATAGCAATGCTAGTTCATATATAGTTATGAAAAAATACTCTATGAATGATGAAACAAAGTTAATCATAAACATATACTGAAATTCTTAATCAAATTTATTACTTTGGGTCTACTCATACATTTTTCAGGTAAATTTGTGTAATTGTATTTTCGTAGGAAAAGCAGTAAGGAAAGAAATTTAAAAAATGTTAAGTGGATTATATATTTACCTTCTGAAGGCATTCACATCAGAAAGGTTAATATTACAGAAAAAAAAGAGTATCATGTGATTTAGATCACTCAGAAGTAACCACGGAAGTTTGAATCTCCAATTTATTTAGCAATACAGAACACAAAGATTTTTCACCCTGGTTTTAATGTCTCAGAAACAGGGAAAAAATGTAAGTGCCCCATATTTCCACTAGATAATCAGTAAGAACATATCAACTTATCTACCCTAGCAGTGTTAGAAGTATAATTATCAGGCTCCTCCTCTGTAATTGCCACTCTCTTTCCACTGAAAAGTGCCTCAATGTAAAAAATCTGTATTATAAGATTGGCAATATTTTATATTCCGACAGCAAAGTTTTTAGGATGTAAGCTACTTTTTTTTTTTGTAATTTACTGAATGCCTATCACCAGGGATTCATGCTTGCCCTGGGACTAATGGTAAAAACTTAATAATTAATCTACTAATTAATCAAATAAGAAGGCTTTTATACACACTAATATGAAACATAAACACATTCTTGAATAAAAGGTTTTATGTGTCAGGACTAAGATGATTTCCTGTTACAACCCCCACTGAAAATGAGGCTGTTCTCCTTAACTATACATTTGTACCAGTGAAAGGGTTGAAGTTATCCCAATGCTTACAATCTTATCTGTTCTGATATGGCATCCCTCATGAAACATGTAATTCACAGACACATGCTGTATTATTAATGATTTTAAATACAATTAAATAAATTAAATACGAAAAAGACCTTATTAAGACAATTTATTTGCCACTCCTGTAAGCTTCCAATTTCAGGTTTCATGCTGCTTTGTTTAATTGAATCTTAGCTCTCACCAGCCGTATAAATTTCAACAATTCCCTTAAACTGCTGTTCCAACCTACGAGATCTCTATAACAGAAATTCTTTTCCACTTATTATTTTTCAAATACCTTTCAATAGTTTTATACTAAAAAAAATGTTATAACAATTTAAATGGTAATCATTCACATTCAATGCTCTGATTGTCTTTTTAAAGTTTAAAGGTCAACATTCGTCAGAAGTTCATTGTGTAAAACTGAATTATTTTAGTTGTTTCTCACCACAAGTAATGGTCTGGGGGAAAAAAATAACAGCAGATCCAGAAAAGGGACTGAAGCATGAAGGAAAAAAACCTGAAGTGACAACATGATTTCAGTTTGTGTGGAAACAACTGGGACTTACTGTAGTCTTGGACTATTAGGTAAGACACTGGCATTTTAAATTTGGTGTTAACAAAAGAAAACAATAATTTGACTCACTCAGGAATCTTACTACAATCTAAGTAACAGAAGCAGTCTGGCACCTTAGGTCCTACTCCCAATCCTAAATATAACTTAAAATTTTGAATTCAATTCCAATATGTCATCTCAATAAAGGGACAGAGGTTTTTCTGAACACGGAAATCAGAAAAGTATGTATGTTTTCAATAGGAAACTATACAGTTACTTATAGAGATAAAAAAATTAGGCACCCTTCTCAGCACATCATTCTTACAGAAAGGGGGCAGTATATTAAAGCAGTAAAAAAAAAAAAAAGAATATTCTATGTAATCTCTAATTAATCTTTTGAATTCACTGCCCCAAACCATGACAGTAGGAAGGAATTGATATGTACATATGAGAGTATTTTGAAATAATAACAGAGTCTAAAATGGTTACACAATATAATTTCTTTGTTCATTATTGTTCCTCAATGCAAAAGAAAAACGTTTTCTCATGGGCAAGACAGGTTACTAATCATGGGGAAAAGAATCGCTGTCCAACTAACGATTTAGCAGCAATATTTAAAAGACCTTTACAGTATCACTGAATAAGCCACAGTATTTTTACTGTCAAAGGCCTTTAGATATTTGTGCTTCACTAAAAGATTTTTTTTTAAAGCATATTTTAAAAAACTGTATTTCCAAACTTGGTCATTTGAATAGACTGAATGCCTGAATAAATACAGAGAGTTGTACTGGTCTAAGTTTCTTAATATTCTTGTAAAGACCCTTGGTTCACAGACACAACTACTTCAGCTCAATACCTTATCATGCATCAATGTAAATTCAATACAAAATAAAAGGCCTTAGAAGAGCAGTAAGAAAAGTGCTAATACCGTCACAACTTTCCTGCTGGCCCAAATCCCATAGACTCAGTCATATCAGCTCTGTTGAGTCTCAGGAACAGAAAGGAGTAGAAGTAAATCGTGTCTATGTCCATGTCAACACACAAAATTACTCTTCTTCTGCATTTAAAAAGATCCTTTGGTATGAATAAAGAAAAATGTTATACAGGATGCACTTAGAGTGTTGATTTTCTGAGTAATTTCTTCTTTTCTAATAAGTAAATAACAAAAAAGAGATTTTGTCTGCTTCATTTTGGCTGGAAACACAGAAACTAGAAATAAGGTGTGTGAGTATTCTAGGATAGCAGCAAACCTGGCAGAGTACATAGAAAAGATTAAGTAAAGCTATATTTATCCTTCATCTCTGCAGAGAAAAACATAAATAATAAACCACTTTAAGATATTAAAAATGCTCTGCAGAAAAATATTTGAGCCATTAAAACTTTCACAACCATATTTTCCATATTTTGTCAACCAGTTTTCCCCATGGCCTCGATCAACAATGAGACTAGTTAACTCTTAACTGCCAGGCACTCTAGCTCTGAAATTTTACTTTCGTCCTCATAATTTCAAAAGTACCAGCAGAGCAAAGGCAACTCCAAACTCTCATCTAGTCTATATCAGCACAGCTACATTGATTTAAGTGGAATTGTACAGCAGATTTATAAATCAGTGAGATCTCATGTAACAGCATGAGATGGTCATCAATGAATACTAGAGCAGGTTTCAAAGATCAACCTTCCTGTAGCATCATCCAATATTTTACTTTTTGATATGGATAATTTCTTTCCAAACTTTTTGGCCACAGTGAGTATGGACAACACGGGAAATTTCTTTGCATCAAAGAGTTTAATCTTGAGCATTCAGTGCTTTAATTCATCAAGTTCTTGATGTTAAAGTAAAGATGTGATCTGGATGGAGGGAGACAGCTGAATCCTTGTCATATTCAGTGGAAAACTGCTGACTTCATCAGGCCACCCCTAGTGGTACCTCAAGACAAATCCAAACTGCTTTATGTCATCTGATCACTGTTCTCACTCCCAGTTTAGCAATAATTACCGGTATCACACTTTTTACTTAGGCCATACTTCCAATATAAGGAAAGTAACACAGTGTATTGATTTAAGACCCTTCTGATAATGTTATGTAAAATGCCGTTTGAATTTCATTGTTCGCTTTTATTAAGTCAGCCTTGTAGGCTGAGACAATTTAATGTTGGTGACCTCTGTTTCCTTAGAGATATTCTCACAATGTCTGAGACATTTAGGAGACATAGGTAACCCTAGATTTAAATAAAGGCCCACAAAATACATAAACAAATGAAAGTTTTGGAACATCCTAATACCACAGTGGT